TTCGGGTTTTGGTAATTCCTATCGGCTACATTGCCCTTGATCGAGCCCCCCCAAAGCCAAGGATTTCATTTTGAGGACTAAGATGCCCCTGACCCACGTCATGGAATTTTTAATTGCCTCATATACACATGAAAGTTCAACATTGAAGAAGAAAGATTGAAGAAAGCTCTATCAGTGTGAACAATGGTGCTGGCCAAGAATATGGAAAGTTCCATGGACTGTCGAAACCAAACAGATCGGTCTTGGAAGAAGTACAGCCAGAGTGCTCCTTAGAAACAAAGGTGGCGAGACGTCATTTGATGTGCTTTGTACATATTATCAGGAGAGACCAGTCCCCGGAGAAGGGCAGCATGCTTGGTGAAGTGGAGGGACAGGGAAAGAGGAAGACTTGGACGAGCTGGACGGACACGGTGGCCGCAACCATGGGCTCAAGCAGGAGAACACTTGTGAGGCCCGCGGGGACCGGCCGGGTTTAATTCTGTTGCGCTATGAGTCAGAACCAATCTATGACAGCTAACAACAAGCCCCCAGTGGCCCGCCATGCCCCACAGAGCCTGCTGCCCAGGGCAGGTGGGCAAGCACGGACCACACTGAGGTCTGTGGTGTTTCCTCTCTGGGCTGTGAGTATGTGAAATGCCATGCTGTCGTCACTCTGGGTCCCAGGAGGCTGAGGCAGTGGGGGGCACACGAGGGAAGTGAGATCTCACAGCCCAGAGCTTAATCCCCAGGAGCCAGGAGGCCGGAACCTCATGTCCCTGAGTGCTCCCACATGGGGCCACATAGCTACTTTGAGCATTTGGGAACATCTAACTTGTCCAATCACACTGCGAGGAGTGGGAAGAGCCAGGAAGCAAACACCTATCAGAGTCTACCTGCCTCTGAACACCATGGTGTTTGCTTCCCACCAGGCTGCCACCCTTTGACCTGAGGGCTTCAGGGCTGGGCGGCACTCACGGGGGTGTCAGCAGATGGCCCAGGAGTTAGACCGTGGAGTGGGTGGGGTGCAGCTCCTGCTTTGAGATGTAAGTCAAGGCACGAGCTCCCTGGACAGTTTTCCTTCCATCCCTGCGGAGGCAGCGGTGCAAGAATGAGCCTTCCGCACTCTGCACTCGGAGTCCCTGCCAGGTCTGGGAGACTGTATGGCTGTGTGCTTAGGCCGGGCCTGTTCTTTT